GCTGCTGCTGTCCCACGGAGCTCGCCGAGAGCGCCGCGAGGAGCACGCACACGCACAGACCGCCGTACATCGCTGCGGGGAAAAGGCACCCAGCGTTAGCAGGGACGGCTCCGCTGCGTTTTACAGCATCCTTCATCATTCTTTAGAGGCTTCCGAGCAAGCTAGTTTTTTTTTTTTTTTTTTTTAATTAAGGAGAACTGTGGGATCAGCATTAAGCCGGAAAACATATACATGAATAATTAAATTTCCTTGGGAAAGGGGCAGGCACATCTGGAGGCTCCTAGCTAACACAGAAAGGGATAGAACCAATTCACTACGCTACAGCTTTATGTAGCTTTACCTTATTTACTCAGTTCTTACTTGCTTTTATTTTACTTCTATTTTATTTGTTTGGAGGCTGCATTTTACTGAAACATAAGACAGAGAGATCCAGCTCAGAGGAAAAGCCCAGCACTAGAACACACCAGTATTTGCTGTTGTGTCAAAGCCCGCTGCTAGCGCAAATACTGCGTTTTGAAAAGTTTTACAGAGTCTTTGCTTTAAGGAGCCCTTCCCCAGCCTGAGCTTCAGTGTTCAAGAGGTGGCTTCTTGTCACACAAGAAGGAGAAAAGCCCCCAAAGAAGGTAAAAGCAACATCTATGGAGCCTCCTGCCACTTGATCTAACAGCCAGGATGGAAAGAGCTGCTCGGGAGTAAGAAATAACAAGCAGAGAAAACTATATACTTCTTGAGGCAAAACACAGAGTTCAAGTGTAATTTTTTGATGGTTCCTTAAAGGAACAAATATTACAACAACAAAAGAAAAAAACCCACAAAGTCATTAGATTATTTGCTTATATGAGCTGAAATAGTTTTCTAAGCATTATTATTTTCCTCCGGAAACACAGAAATGACCCTGAGCTAAGAGGGGACACCAGGTACCCCACACTTAGCGCTGCAGGACACGCGTTACCCGCACGGGCGCCTGTGTCCCGTTTGGGCGGCCGAGCAATAGAGCCGTTTGAAAGGACGGGAATAAAGGAAGGTCGCCGCGCGCACCGGCACCGCAGCGGGCGCGGCGGGAGAGGCGAGGCGAGGGGAGGCAGGGCAGGGGGTGCCGGCGCTCTCGCCCTACCTGCCCGCCGCGCCGCCGCACCGAGGGAGCGAGGCCGTCACCGCCCGGGCTCGTCACTGCGCGCTGCCTCCGACGCCGGCCCTTAAGTAGCGCTGGCGGCGGCCGTTGGCGGCGGCGGCCGTTGGCGGAGCTCTGACGCAGCCGCCGCCCCGGGCTGGCGCGGAGCGCGCGGCCCCTCCCGCGCCCGGCGGCCGTTGGCGCCGTTGCGCGAGCGCGGGAACGGGAGCGGCGCCCGTGGCCGCGCCGACGGGGCGCGCTGCGCGAAGCGCCTCTAGAAAACGAGGGGGCTTCCGCCGCCCGCCACCTCGCTGCCTCTTGGGGGCAGCCCCTGTTCCCCCCGGCCCCACACAGACCTGCCCACCTTGTGTCTCATGGGTCCCTACCCGGGGCGCGGGGACAGCAGCCACCGCCATCACCTGTGTGACCCAAAGCGTGGGGTGGCCTGAGGGCTGCTGTGGTCCTGGCTCAGGAGGGAGTAGTGGGGTCATGGGGACAGTGGAGGGACAGGGAGTGGTGGGGATGGGGTGGGATAGTATGGAGGGATGGTGGTGGTGGGACTGGGGGTGATGGGACTGGTGGTGCAAAATCGGGTGATCCTGATGGTAGGAGTTGAGGATTGTGGTGGGATGGGGTGCTGAGGATGGTGGTGGGATGGGAGGTGATGGGGATGGTGGTGGGAGACAGGGTGCTCAGGGTGGAGGTAGGATGGTAGGTGATGGGGATATAGATGGAATGGTAGATATGATGGTGGGATGGGAGGTGATAGGGTTGGTGCTGGGAACTGGGGTGATCATGCTGGTGGTGGGATCAGAGATGATGGGGATGGTGGTGGAAGATAAGGTGCTCGAGATGGCACTGGGATGGTAGGTGATGGGGATAGTGATGGGATGGAATAGCAGAGATGATGGTGGTATGGCAGGTGATAGGGATGGTGCTGGGAATTGTAGTGATCATGGTGGTGGTGGGATGGTAGGTGATGGGGATGGTGGTGGGAGATAGGGTGCTCAAGGTGAAGATGGGATGGGAGATGATAGGGGATGGTAGTGGGAAATAGGATCATCATGGTGGTGGTGAAATGGGACATGATGGGGATGGTAATGGGACAGGGATGATGGAGATAGTGGTGGGACAAGAGGGTTGTGGGGATGGTGATGCACATGCTGTCTTGCTTCATTTTAACCTCTAACCAGGGTGTTTATCACAGAACTGTGTGTCCTGACCAAGATATGGTCTGTTTTTTGTCTTCTCAAGCACCAGAACTGGATGAAGTTGCCACCTCTAGGAGGTTATAAACAAGCCAAAACAAAATCTGCTTTGAAAACAGAAAAGTAAGTTGAAGTGGAATTGCCAGGGCAAAATCAACATTGAAGTGCTTCCAACAGTTCCCTCTAGTGAAATGTGCTTATGTAAACGCACTGTCTTTGAATAAACCAGTAATATTGGTGATAACTCCATTTCACTAGTTTGGCTTGATGGGAAAAATGCTCACTGCTATTAGACAAATAGTTGACAGTTGAACCGTAAGTGCCCAGGAAAATTCACAACCTTTCTGGGAAGGTACAAGACAATGGCAATTTTGGTACAGTCATATCGAGTCTCTGGGAAACTCACTGTAGCTAATGAGTTCCCCAAGGACCAGTTCAAAGCTTAGCAGAAGAGAAAGAGAACTTACTAATACCTGGGTATGCATAAGTCGTATTACAGGAGTATAAATGTAAATGCAGACATTTAATCTGACAGATTTATCTGGGTGAACAAATACAAACTATAGGAGTTCACTTACTTAGAGCTGGGTTGGAATATTAGTTCAATTACTAATATATCTTTGTAGAAGCCCTCAGAAAGTTCCCTTTGGTTCCAGTCAGACTGGCAGAAGTTGTGTGTTCCTTGACAAGTAAGTTTTGCTCCACAATAGGGCAGGGCATCTGTTGAACTTGCATTCTTTTAAGTTTGTAAAGTTGCTGCTGCTGATGATGATTCTCTTGTGTTTTCTTGCTACTGTTTCTTGAAACTTCAGGACTCCACGTGAATGGAGTGAAAGTCTCTGTGTGTGGGGAGGAAGGGAAACAGCCAAGCTCATTAAACTGTGTGTTCACATGGAATTACAGGGCAACAACATCAGAATATGCTTAGCCGGATGCAGTGTCAAACAGAGAAGACAGGAATATCTGCTGGACATTTACATGCCTATACAAATTGTATGGCATCTCTGTGCTATTAAATGGCCATATACCTGCTCTTTTGCTGTACYCGTGGGATCCCTTATACTACTACGAAGCCCTGTTTCTTTTTCCTATTTAGTTGTCATGGAGTCCRAATAAAATTAGTGAGGCTACAGCATCATGTTAAGTTTTTAAAGTCAAGAGTACAGCACTGTCAAAAATTTGGTTATAGACTTTGAACAGTAATTTTTCTCCACTGAGTTTGTGAATACCAGTATGTAAAATATACTAGAGATTATTTTCTCATTTATTGATGCTTTCTCTGGTAAAAGTTTAAGGTGCTGTGAAACTTCCAGATTATGATAAATACTTGTCAAGTTGGCCTTTTAGTGTTGTTTTAGACAGATAAGGAATTAAAAGCCCTTTTTGACTTGTTAACAGAACTTTGACATGATTTTCCTGGTGAAGCTTAGGGTTTTTGTTATTGAATGATGTGGCACGAAGATGAAAGAATAAGACTTTGATTTGCAGTGATCTGTTATGCTTCCAGGATCCAAGTTTTCATGAGCTGCTCATTACATATCTGTAGACTGTTAACTACAGGAGGGTTTTGTGCCACCAGTACAAATGGGGCAAGCTTGGTGCCCCTCCTGGGTATGACTTCCTCAGGAGGGAAAATGTTTTGATTGAATCAAAGCTTGAGCAATACTGTAAGACTCCAAGTAGAGATGCAAAGCAGATTTACACCCAACAAGAACCCTGCAATGCAGTAAATCACTAAAACAGATGCACCTTTAAAGTAGCAGTTGGACGACACCATAGTTTAAAGGCTGCAGGTTTTTAAAATTGGTTTGTGGTAACCCTCTGTTACAAGATGTGAACGTTTGCACCGTTTCCCCCATTCTAATCCAGATATTTCTGCCCTCAAATGCTTTGTCTGCCAAAGGTTTTCTCCCACGTAGCAGAGGTGGCAAAAGGGAGTGTGTGGCTACGTATAAGCTCTTCTGGCACAAAGCTTCTCTGCAAGAGAGGTGGCCAGCGCTGACAGCAAAGTGCAGCCAGGCACTGTGAGCATCAGTGTCTCATCCTCTCTGCTGCAGAGCTGCTCACTTAGTGGCAGAGTGACAAGGAGCTTGGAAATGCTTCTTTCCTACAGTAGAGAGCAGGCAGCTACTGTGCAGTGCTTCACTTCCGTCARTGTGCATTTTGCCTCTTTAATGTGTATTTTTTCATGGTAGTGCCACGTGCAGTTTGCAACAGCACATTGTCATAAGGACAGCGTAGCAACTTGTGATGCCTGTGTTGTGGTGCCTTTCCTTTTTGGCCAAAAAGGTGACATACAGGTATTACTCACTGTGTGTTGTTGCATGGCTTGGAATTCTAAGACTTTTTAGGCTGAGTTTTAAATAAAGGGTAATAAACTGCCAAGTATAAGTATCCTGGGAATTTAGGCTGTGAGGGATAAAGCTGTATGGCTAAACTGAGGGACTGAGGAGACCTTGTCTCCAGAAGGGTAACAAGAAATATGTTTTTTTTTCCTTTCTAAATACTATGTCCTTTTCTCATTATCACTCATTTCTCATTATCACTATGTGGCTGTGGTTTTTTTTTTTTTTTTTTTTTTTCCATTCCCTTGAACTCTGATTCTTAAGGGTAATATTCTTTCTGTAATGGAGTAAATGAGTAAATTTATTTTTCCTGTGTAATTGATGGAGCAGCAGCCTGGGTGATTAGAACAAAGCAGCAACATTTAGCAGAGAATAGCAGGGAGAGAAATGGTATAGATTTCTGGAA